GGTTATGGGAGGAGCAGCCCCTGTAATTCATGTCTGGTCTCCCCAGGTGAGTCTGGGAAGCCCTCCCTCCTGAGCCAGCAGGGCCCCATCATGGCTTCTGGACAGAGCCTGGCCCTCCAGTGTCGCTCTGATATCGGCTATGACAGATTCGCTCTGCACAAGGAGGGGGGACGGGACCTCCCCCAGAGTCTTGTCCTGCAGCCCCAGGCTGGGCTCTCTCAGGCCCACTTCCCCCTGGACACTGTGAGCAGCTCCCACGGGGGCCGGTACAGATGCTACGGTGGATACAACCTCTCCTCTGAGTGGTCGGCCCCCAGTGACCCCCTGGACATCCTGGTGGCAGGTGAGGAGCCAGTGGGCTCAGTCAGGGACCCTGACTCTGCACAGGCCCTGCTGGGGTCTCAGGTAGTGAGGCCGGAATGAAAGTGTAGGACCTCAGGGAGGGAGAGAGAGAGGGAGAGGGAGAGGGAGGGGGTGGGAGGGGAGATGGGAGACTCAGAGAAACAGAGATAGACAGACAGGAGGGTCCTCAGAGAGAGGCCTGGTGACTCTCAGGTCAGAACAAGGTGGGCAGGCGGCCCTCACCCTCCCTCCCTCTCTCTAGGACAACTGCCTGACAGACCCTCCCTCTCGGTGCAGCCAGGCCCCAGGGTGGCCTCAGGAGAGAACGTGACCCTGCTGTGTCAGTCACGGAGCCCGAGGGACACGTTCCTTCTGTCCAAGGAGGGGGCAGCCGGTCCCCCCGACCGTCTTACATCAAAGCACCGAGGTCGGCAGTACCAGGCAGAGTTCTTCATGAGCCCTGTGACCTCAGCTCATGGAGGCACCTACAGGTGCTACAGCTCACTGAACTCCTCCTCCTACCTGCTGTCACTCCCCAGTGACTCCCTGGAGCTCCTGGTCTCAGGTGAGAGCCTTTGACCCTGTCTGCTGAGCTGTCCGCTCAGGGTCCTGTCCACAGAAGGATCATGGGCTGAAAGGGAGTGGGGTGCAGTAGGGATGGTCACCCAGAAGACATTTGCTCTTCAGAGTCCCTCCCCAACCTCACATGCACCCCTCACCTGAATCCTGAAGGTGCCAGGTGGGCAGTGGGAGGTTTGAGTGGCCACAGGGCAGATGCAGGGGGATCTGAGTGACATGGGGACTCCAGGTTCAGTTCCAGATTCTCACCCCCGTCTGTCCTCCTTCCCAGGAACCTCTGGGACCCAGCCCCCCACCCACAGGGCCCATGTCCACAGCTGATGAACCACTGGGTCCCCTCTGCTCAGAGGGAGCTAGATCACCCCCGGGCGGTTCTGAGTCTCTCAGAGGATCTAATGCCCCCTGACACTTAAGGACAGGCTTCTGTCTGGGGAGGGGGCAGGGATTCCAGGAGAGATTTCAGGGGGACCACAGGCCTCCAGGGGCTCTGAGGGTTCGCCCCTCCCCCAGAACAGAGTCAGGCCTAAGAGGGGGAAGTGAGGCAGGTGACAGGTGGGGTGGTCATAGCAGAGGGAGATGTTGATGCCCAGTCTCAGGAGGGAGAGCTGGACACAACTGGGGAGAAGGCAGCACCAAACCCTCACCCATCCTGATCCTCAGGAGGCTCTGATGATCGGCCCCCTCTGCCCCATGGAGTCGGGCCCACAGAGGGGTAAACGAGGGTCTCTGTGGGAGGTGGGAGGTGCCTCCATGGGGAACAGGGGCTGAGCCATGAAGGGGTTTACACCCTTCCAGGGACACTGACTTGGATACACCCTTTCCTTGCATGGGCCTCAGTGTCTTCAAGGGTAAAAGGAGAGAATCCTTGTCCAGAGCTTAGATTTGCTGTCAGATCTGGCCGTGACCTCCTGGGAGAGGGGCCTCACAGGGAAACCCCCAGGACGTGATGTTATGGGGCCTGTCCCCTCTGTCTCAGTGATGGTGACACTACAGGGAGGGACAGGCAGGACAAGGGTCCGGGCACCCAGTCCTACCCCTCAGATCAGGCTCAGCTCAGAGGAGGGAACAGGGTGGATCAGCCCCGGGTCAGCTCCAGGCTCTGCTGCTCCTGCTGTGGGGCTGGGCGGTCCCTTCTCTCCTCTGAGTGTCGGGTTCCTGTCTGCTCATCCCTGGTCCCATCCTGCTCACAGGCTGCTGGGAGATGAGGTGACATTAGGGCCTCATAGAGCTCAGGAAGGCAGAGCCCCCAGCCCAGCCCAACCTTCCCAAGGGGGCGTCAGAGGCTGCAGGGTGAAGACCAATGAGGGAGAGACTCAGAGTCCAGCCTTCACCCTGCCTCTCCCTGTCCCTGCTGTTCTGGGGGCGGGTAATGAGGAAGGACCCTCAGCTCCAGAAGAGATGTGGACAGGTCCCTGCAGAGGAGGTACCCAGAGCTCGAAGCTGGTGTCCCTCTTGGGTGAGGGCACCATGAGGAAAGCACAGGGAACTCACAGTCCTGGTTTCCAGTCCCAGCACTGCCTCGTCCAGGCTGAGTGACCAGGGGCACGTGATTAACCTCTCTGAGCCTCAGTGAAGTGGGTGGTGGGGTCAGCAATCCCTGGTGCATGACTGGTGTGAGGTGAGAGGAGATGAGCGACAGAGCCCAGCATGAGCCCTGCACACAGTAGGTGCTCATTCTATGGCATCACTGGCTCATTCATGATGTCACTCATGTCCTAGGTCCCAAATGGAACCTGAACATCCTGATCGGGGTCTCGGTGGCCCTTTTCCTGCTGCTCTCCCTCCTCCTCTTCCTCTTCCTCCTCCGACACCGATGTCAGAGCAAAGGCAGGACGTCAGGTGAGTAGGGAACGGGGTGACCTGGGTCATAGGAGAAGGGGGCACAGAGCACCTGCCACAGAAAACCAAATGGATGGAGAAGGTCAGCTGGGAAAAGGATTTCTCCAGAATCTGAAATCAGAAAACCTAGAAAGAATACACTTAATGTCAGCACACGTGTATGTATTTAAGGTAATCTTTCATCACCTTCAATCTTCTGAAATATTAAAATTTACACACAAGGTATGTTAAGGTTTCCTCGTTTTCAGTGGAATCACATGGGGAGGGGGTTCTAACCTCCCAGGGCTGAGACTGTCCCTCTTGACCAGCCTACAGAGGGGCTGATGTCCAACCTCCTGCAGGGACCACAGACCCAGACGCCAAGGACAGAGGCCTGCAGAGCAGGTAATTCCTGCCCCAAATTCCCCAAACACCCACATCCTGTGGCCCAGCTCTGCCCCTAACTTTCTGTCTCCTCCCTCAGCTCCAGCCAAGCTGCGGACGCCCATGAAGAGCATCTCTGTGAGAGGAAGAAACAGTTGCCCTGGGGGAGGGGTGCAGGGGTTTTGGGAGATGACGTGGGGGGGGGGGTTAGACTGGGGGAGACCCACACTGTGTGACCTGGCTCTGCACCTCACCCTGGGTTAGTGGCCCATCTGGGAGCAGGCGGGGCCTGCAGCCCTGAGATCTCGGGGACCTGCCAGGAGACACACCCCCGTTCTGCCCCAGCAGATGCTGCCATGAAGGACCCACAGCCTTTGGAGAGTGTGGAGCTGGACCCTCAGGTGAGAACCTTGCTCCTGTCCAGGCCACCAAAGACCTTCTGTTGCCCAGTTTAATCCAATGGACCCGTTCCTGTCCCACCTCACCTGCTTCTCAGCAGCGTCCACACTGACCTCCCCTCTGGGCCCCCAGGTCATCCTGCTGTGACTCACTCCTCCTGGTTTTCTTGTGGCCTCATGGCCCCCTCCTACGTGGCCCCCTTTGCCGGCCCCTCATCCTCTGTCTGACCGTGTGCAGTCCCAGGTCTCAGGAGGAGGCAGGAATGAATGGCTCACTCTCAGGTCCCCAGGATCCCCTTCACTCATTCACCCAGCAGATGTGACAGGGCTGTTTCCTGGCTCCATTTAGGGCCCCCGGTGCAGCCCTGAGCCACACTGTCTCCACACGCCTCCAGCTCCCCTGTGGGTGAGGGAGATAATATGCAAACAAGCAGACAGAGTCCCAGAGAGCAAAGTGCTGTGAAGGAACATAAAGCAAGAGGAGGGGATAGAGTACATGGAGGGGGGACAGGGAAAAGAGTGGGTGCAAAGATCCTGAGGCAGGACATGCTTCTTCAGGTGGATGGGCCATGAGGCTGGAGCCAAGTGAGCAAGAGAGAGCACGTTAGGATCAGAGTCAGAACCACAGAAGCATCCAGAGCCCCCAAGGCTCGGGAAGGCCCTGCAGATTCCACCAGGAGAGGGACCTGATCTATTTAAAGTGTAAATTATCTCTCTGGCAACATGAGGATAATTGACAGGATTTCTACTGTGAAATAGAGGAGACGCTATTCTGTCTCACTGTCTCCTTCAGACCAGGCAGGATGAAGGCCCCCAGGGTGTGATGTTTGCCCATGTAAGCCACTCAAGACCAAGACCCAGGCAGAGAATGGCCACCTCTCCTTCCTCCCTGTCGGAGGAATTGCTGGACACAAAGGGCAGACAAGCGGAAGGGGACAGACAGATGGACAGTCCAGTGGGTCCCATTCTCTGCAGACCTCCAGGTTTCCCCAACACCAACCAAGTGTCATCCCTCTCTCTCCCCCTGCTCCAGGCTGCACCTGACGCCCCCCAGGATGTGACCTACGCCCATCTGAACCCCTCAACCCTCAAAAGGAAGACATGTGCACCGACATCCTCCCCGTCAGAGGAGCCCCCAGATGAGCCCAGTGTGTATGCTGCTCTAGCCATCCACTAGCCCAAGAGGGAGACCCCACACTCCAGGGAGGGGGCCTACAGGCACCCCCAGAAGGCATGGGAACTGCTCTCATGGACACTTAGCTAGTGACCACAGCCAGCCTGGAGACCACGTGTGGACCCCAGCAGCTTCTGGGACCCTCTGGGAGGCACCAGATTCTACAATTGAGGATAAATAATATCTCTATTTTTTGGAATTTTAAAAAACACACAGACTTCTCAATAACCCATGTGTGAATTTAGAACCAAAACAGAAGTGAGAGAATGCTTTTGCTGAATGATAGTGTAAATATTACACATCAGACCTATGAAATGGACAATTAAGAACCATGAATGAATATATTAGAAACGCATAACGCAAACACAAAGAAGCAGCCAACGTGTCTCTCAGGGGCTGACTGAATAAAGATGTGGTCAAATATACCATAGAATACTACTCGGCCGTAAAAAGAAGACGAAGTACTGCCATCCCATCACAACGTGGGATGGATCTGGAGAGTTGCACGCTAAGTGAGATAAGTCAGACAGAAAAGGACAAGAAGCCTATGATTTCACTCATGTGTGTGTGAAACCTGCAACTCTGACCTGTCGCGTATATTAAATATATTGATTTAAAATTTTCCTGCAAAGTGAACTTGGAGTCAGGAAAGCCTCACTGGTAAGTGCTTCTGAACACTTATGCATGTATGAAATACACACACACACACACGGACATACACATAGACATGCACAGACATACACACACGCGCGGACATACGCATAGACATGCACACACATCCCCACACATGCACACACATACACACACACTACAAAAGTCACACAAGCTTCTCCTGAAACAGAGAAGGAAGGCATATTCGCCCAACACAGTTTATCAGACTAGAAATAAATTGATAAGAAATTCAAACACGGAAACTGCAATCTGGGAACGTCACAGGAAGCCCTCTCACATGAACTTAGGTATAGAGTCCTCAACAAAATACTCAGACAAAAGCAACCGACTGATGATCCTCAAAGGGAAGGAGTCGGGGGAGAGAAGAGATCAATCAAAGCACTTATATGCGTATATGCATAACCCATGGACACAGACGGTAGTGGGATAAAGGCCTGGAGAGGGGACCGTGGCAGGGAGGAGGGGGTCAATGGGGAAAGAGGGGGACATCTGTAATACATTCAACAATAAAGATAAATTGAATGACTAACTAAATAAAAT